TTTGCTTTATTCTGGTTTGTTTGTTTTTATTGGCCTGTTTTCTAAACAGAAATAGAAAGGAGACATGGAGCTGGATGGGTGGGAAGAGGCGGGGTCTGGGAGGAGACAAGGGAGGGGAAACCATGATCAGGATCTACTGTATGAAAAAAAAATTCTTTTCAATTCTTAAAAGAAAAAGAACGATGACCTAGGATGTAAAGGCCACTGGCGTGCCCCACTCCCTGGCCAAGTAGACAATGGTTGGCAGGGAAAGGCAAATCATGATAAATACTTCCATTCTGGAGAGGAGGCAGGGATGTTACACAGGATACGGTGGGAATGGTAGGGGGGCCCTGAGGCCCCAGATTTGCCTTATGGAAGTTTCAACCTTGTCTGTACTGCTCATTTGAAGTAGTTACCAGTAAGTATGTCTCCCTTAAAAGCTGTTTGGAGATCTCAACAGTTAAGAGAATTTGTAGTATATTGGAGAAAGAAACAGTCACCTAGACACCATGTTAGGGTTCCTGTGTATTTTCCTCCAATCACTCTGTGAGCCAGTAGCCACGTGTAAGCCTCTTTCTCACATAACATTTATGCTGACTTCATTTCTGTTTATCCTTGCTTAGCCACACTCCTTCCCCTCTCCCCTCTCTCACTGATATTTTGAGGCAGCTGGAATAATAGACTCATATGTGAACAAACACCCCTAAACAAACGCTTGCTTTGAGGCTGCATTGCTTGCATGCAAAAGGAGGTAGCAAATATATTTGTCTGTCAATAGATAAAGAGGATATTTATTAGACAGGTTTAATGTACAAAAATAATAAATATACCATATTTCTTGTGACCACAGGACTCTCACCAGGTCACAGAGAATAATCTCAACAGTTTTATGAGAAGATAGTTGTTATAGAAAACATTATTTGGTTTCAGTGCAATTTAAGAAAAAAAGATAGTAACTGTCCTGTTCTGGTCAGATTTTTTTTTTCCCAATTTGACACAATCAAGAGTGATCTGGGAAGAAAGAACTTCAATTGAGAAAACATTTCCATCAGATGACTGGTAGGCAAGTCTGTGAGGCATTCTATTGATTGATGATTGGTGTGGGAGAGCCCAGCTCATTGTGAGCAGTGTCACTCCTGGGCTGGTGGTCCAGGGTTGTGTAAGAAATCAGGCTGAGCAAGCCATGAGGAGCAAGTCAGCAAGCAGAGTTACTCCATGGCTTCTGCTTCAGTTCCAATTGTGGTGCTGAAGTGGTAGAGGATGAGGATTTCAAGTATGAGGCAAGTCAGGAAGCAGGAACAGAGGAGTCACAAGTGATCCTTCAGCGTCACTACAAATCAACCGCCTGAGAAGCCACCCACCACCCCCAAGCCCAGCTATAGTGATGGACTGGATTAAGAAACCCATGACAATATTCCCACTTGATGAGTCCAATCCCTAGAATTCATATTTAAGAGGGGGATAGCATCTGTAGTCATAAGGGGAGATGGTGGTTTGGGGATGGAGGCAGGATAGAAATATTTTCCAGAAGCTTGTGGGCCAGCTAGTCGAGAGCATGTGGCATGGTACAAATAGGAGTATGCCTGTCTCAACTTGGTGGAAGGAAATACCTGATTCCTAAAAGTTATCCTCTGATCTCCATGCATGTAGCTGCATGTACATATATGTCCTTGTGTCTATATGTGCATATGAACACGTATGGATACAAATTGTTCAAGTTTTAAATCATTTTTTAGATTTATTTATTTTATGTATATGAGTACACTGTCGCTGTCTTCAGATGCACAAGAAGAGGACATCAGATCCCATTACAGATGGTTGTGAACTGCCATGTGGTTGCTGGGAATTGACTGAGGACCCTTGGAAGAGCAGCCAGTGTTTTTTAACTGCTGAGCCATCTCCCCAGCCCCAGTCTTAAATCTTATAGGAACATTCCTTGGATGTTTTCAAGGTTTTTGAAGTAACCACACCTAACAATGCCTTCTGGTAGAGTTCTGAAGTCTGCTATCTTACTTGGCTTCCTGCCCTCACTCAACGATCTTGTAATTTTAGCTACCTTAGTTGTGACAAATCAGTATTTTTGGCAGTAACAGCCTTAATATAAACCTTGTCTCTGGCCTGGGCCTTTGTTGGGCATCTTGTGTGGCTGCTGAGAAAGGTTCTAAGCAGCTGAGTCTGAACTCTTAGCATGGGGGCTAAAATGCTCCTATGTTTCTAGACACTGCCTGTCTTTCTTGTAATGATCTGCTACAGGGCAGAAAGAACTAACATGGGAAATACTGGAGTAGCTGCAAGCTGGATTTTGAGAGACAGAGTTGGGATAGGTTCCCCCCCCCCCCGTCAATTACATGTCCCATAGGAAGAACTCTGAAAGGTCCATTCTCATGGCTGGTACAGAGGCTTAGAACAGAAAACTATGAGTCTGTATTCTAGAAATAAAATAGGTTGAATTAAAAACATATAATACCAGCTTATAATGTACTAATTAGTTTGGTGCATGTGTGCGTGTGTGGTGTGAGGGGGTGGGTTAACAGCAAAGTCTCATGTAGCTCAAGTTAGTCTCAAACTCCCTATGTAGCTGTGGAGAATGACCTTGAACTCTTCCCAGGCACTCTGAAGGAGCCTGGCCTCAAGACTCACCTCCCTCTTCCTCTGTGCCAGATAAAGGAACCAACATCCCTCAAGCATGGCCACACTGAAACCTCAGTGTTCCTCTCCAGCCCTCTCTGAGTCACTGACCCTACTGCCCATCTTTTCCCATCATGCCCCAGAACTTCCTAAGAACCTGGGACAGATAGAATATCACTTCTGTACCTGTAAGTAGAGGTCTTAGTTTAAATGTAGGTCAGCTACCTAATAGGATTTTATTAAACAGTGATGCAGATCTGGACACTAAATGCAGATACATTCAAGTCAAAATGAAGAACTAACAGTAACTTGCAGAGCACAAACCCATTTTATCAAAGAACCCAAATAGGTACACCTAGTCAGGGCATCCAAAATGTCCATCTGTTCACCCAGGACGGTGGCAGTATAAAGGATGAATACTGTATTATAGTGAACAAATATTTCGTGGACAATAAATATTAGAATAATCTAAAAACAAACAAGAATTAGTGAAACATGCTTATCATGTCAGCACTTGGGAAGTGAAGGCAGAAAAAGCAGGGGTTCAAGGGGCTTCAACTGCATTGAGACCTGAAGGCCAGCCATCCAAGGGAAATAAGAGTTTCTGTCACACACACATCATCACTAAACATATGAGTACTTCTCAGGGAGTACAAATGGTGATCTCATGGCTTCCCTGTTGACTTTTGATTCACTTTAACCCAGCAAACATTTCAGAAGTCAGAAGTGGCTAGTCCGCGCTGGTTCCCACCAGTGGCTAAGCAGAGAGTCAGAGGGCTGCCTTTGGATCCTACAATAACCCTCCAGGTAGCCATGGAGACATTCTAATTAGGCCTTCAGTGAGGTGGGGGTATCATCCAGATGTCTGGGACATCTGGCCCTCAGAAGGAAAAGGAGCCACAATTGAAGAGCTGAGATGTGGGGGGGTGGCAGGAAAGTCCATAGTGGAGCTGTAGCCTGCCCCCAACCCTGGAGCTCAGGCCAGTCCAGCCTGACAGCAGCAGTGGCTGGTATCAACCGCAGTTGCCCCTCAAAAGTGAGGCCCTGGCAGCTAATGGCGTTCTGTCAGGCTTCTTGTCACAGTGGAGCCATTTTGAGTATCATGGTGTTCTCACCGGCTGGGATGAGGCTAAAGACCCCAATCACCAGGGCCCAGCGTCTGTCTTCCCATCTCTGAGCCAGTCAGGGAGGCATCCTTTCATAACTAACGTGTCTATTTTGTTTGTTTCATTTCTGCTGCTTTCTGACTTGCAGAAGTAGGGCTTCAAGAGGTAGAGTGTAAGGAGAGAAAGGGCAATTTAGATCCTAAGTGGGTCGTGTGCCAGGAAGACAGGCAGACAGACAGACAGACAGACAGACACACACACACACACACGCGCGCGCGCGCGCGCGCGCGCCTCAGTACTAGGGGGCGCCTGAGCACAGGGACCAAGCTACCTCTGAGGAGAGTTAGCATCTGTTCTCAGGGTTAAGCAGTTTGGCCCAGGTAAGCCCTGGACTGATTCTGTAGGGTTGGTCAGGGATTGGTTGTGAGCGCAGGCTCTTCTTAGCCGAATGTTATTTGTTACCCCAGTCGCCATCTGCCGCTTAGGCGACACTCTACATAGCTAGCCTTGGGAACGTAGAATGTGGGGCGGCTGCTGAAGAGCCTTGGGAAGGGAAAGTAGAGCCAGAGTCAGAAGAATTTGCAGCCCTCCACACTCCATGTGCTTTCTTCCTGGCTGCTAGGTTTGTTTTCTTCGGCGTAAACCAAGACCCATGCGGAGAAAGAGTGGGAGATGCGGTGGGAACCTGGCGCTTGAATGCTCTGATCCTCCCTCAGGCGGCGGAAGCCAGAAGGAGCTTAGGAAAAGCGAGGGAGGAAGGAACCTGATCACCCGAAACGCAGGTGCGCCCGGCACAGAGCTGAGTCAGCACGGGTTGAGAGGGCGGGGACGGAAGGAAAGAGTCGCTCACCTGCGGGGACAGCGAATGTTCACCCACGCACTCGCTCTCCCTCGGGAACCACGGCTCAAACATCCCAGCCCGACTTGCCCATTGTTGGTTCGGATTCGGTTCCCTGCGGTATCCCAGCACTCTCCCAAAGAAACCATGGCCAGGAAAGGGCAGAGAGTGGAATCTTTCGTGCTAGGTGACCTGGACCTCTCTGGGAGGTCAACTGCACAGAAGAGTGTACTCGCCATCCTCGGAACATCACCCTCGTCTCTCAGACCGTGCGGAGAGCAGACCAGGTGGCAGGAGCACCGGAGGTGTCACCTCAATCTGGAGACAGAAGTTTTGTGAGGTACCTCCACTTGACCCTTCATGCCCCTCCCTCATCCCCATCCCCTCCTCCTCAGCCTTCTAGACAGGACCCCTAAGGTTCAAGAAGTCCAAAGCCCGGAGAAGTGCACAGTGTAAATATATTGGCTTTATTTGTGTCCATTCGGACGCCTCACAGACAACATCCAGATAAAAAGACCGTTAAATAAAACGCCTTCAGCTATTGCAATGCAAAAATAAATATCAATCCTCGGCTGCAGTAGCAGCCGTGCTGCGCCCCAAGTCCCCTCAGTCAGCCCAACAATTATAAAAGTGTTCAGCGAGAGTGTCGGCGTGAGTGTGAACGGGTGTGCGCTGGGGGTGGGGCACAGTAGAGCGGTGTGCAGAATAGGAGTTGCAAACCAAAGGCCTTTGCAGCGGCGACCCCCGGCGAGGCGACTCAGCGCCGGCCGCCTCCCGCGCACACTCACAGCAGAGTTCGTACTGGGAAAGAGTTAAAAAATAAACATTTACAAGGGCAAAGAAAGCGGCTCCCCTCCCTGGCGTTCCCGAACGCGCTCCGGGGCCCCGGCGGGTCCGCAGCTGGGCTACAGTCCCAGTGAGTGAGGGGAGCTGATCCTGGGTGGTCGGGGCCGCCTGGGGCGCGGGTCCCCTCCGGATGCTCCCGCTGTTTCCCGGCGCTTGGCGGTGGAGCAAGTCTCCAAGCGGGCTACCGCCTCACAGGGCCGAGTCGGAGTCGCTGGAGTCCAGGCTGTTCCTCAGTTTGCAGCTGCCAAGCGGCTCCCTCTGCAGCGACAGGCTCTGCGTGCTGCGGCGCAGGCACTCCAGGCTCTGCAGGAACGACTTCTTGGCCTTTTCCTCCTCCATCGGGGACACCCCCTCCTCCTCCACCTCCTGGATCTCGTCGAAGGTCACCGGCTGCGTCTTGAAGCGGGACTGGCGCGGCCGCCGCAGCCGGCCCTTGCCCTTGGGCAGCTTGGCGGGCCGCACGGGCTGCGGGAACTCATCGGCCAGGCACACGAAGTGTGGCATCACCGCTTGGTAGCTGGAGCAGATGCCCATGAGCTCGCCGGGCTTAGCGGCCGCCATGGCGCCGTCGGCGGCTGCGGGGCCGGGGGACGGCGGAGCGCCCGGGCTCTCCGGGGGCGGCCGCGGCTCCGGGGCCCCCCGGGAGGCGACAGCCTGGGGCTCTCCGGGCGGGGGATCCAAATCTGCTGAGGGGTGGCGGCGGGCCTCGCTGGCCCGAGCCGGCGCTGCTGGAGAGGGATAGCGGGCGGACGGGCCCGTCGGGGGGCGCGGGGATGCGCTGTGCTGCTTGGCGGTGCTCCGAGAGGCTCCTTGCTGCCGCTTTCGCTGTCGCCGTGTGCCCCGCGGCAGCCCGCCTAGCGGCTTATATAGCCCGCCTCTGCCCACACGGCTGCAGGCTCGGATGACAGCGAATGCCATTTAAAGCGTGCGCGCCCCGCGCCCTTCCGCCTGACGTCGCCCTCCCCGCCACTCTGGGAAAGTAACGGCCCCTTCCCCGGCACCGCCCGCCAGCCACGCTCCGGAAGGCGCGCCCCGCCCGCCGCGGTCCAACCAGCAAGAGCACCCGCTGCTCCCGGACCCACCGAACCGAGCCGCCACTGTTGGTTCTGGGATAACCCCAACCCCAGCAAGTCTGCACAGACCCGAGCGGCCACGAGGTTTCAGATCTCTTCCCCCCCGGCCCCAGCTCCAATCACTCCAGAGGCGCAGGCTCTTCTGCCATGGTACCTCTCCAGGCGCGCTGGCTACAAGGCAGTTGCTGGTTCTCCTGCGGTCTCCGAAGCTAGGGCGCCCAGCTCCCCGTTCCTGAGCTCCGAGAAATGGGCGGGCTTCTGAAACCCTGCCACCCCCACCCCAGGCTCCGTACGCTACACACACACACACACACACACACACACACACACACACACACGCCTTTACGCACGAATACAAACACACCCCATTATTCCACTCCAGTTCTTCCATTCCCTACATGCTTCTCCCCACACTCTCCCCACTCCAAGTCCCTCCGGCACCCCCATTCATGAACCGCAGAGTGGCACTTGGATAGGGGACTAACAACAATAATAACAGCTCCCATCTGGAGCACTTTCTCCGAGCCTGCTAGCGAGCTCCCTGTACACACATTATCTTGTTCATCCTCCTAACAGCCGGGTGGGATAATTAGTATTCTTTCAATTTCACACGAGAAAAGGGAGGCTCGGAAGGGCTAATTAACTAGTCCACTAGAAACTGAAAGAAACCGGTAGGGTGGACTCTGGAGGCTAATGCTAAGGGTAGCACTCCCAAGTCAGACCCCCACCCGTGAGTGATCCAAGACTTTGGAGAAAGGATCCACAGGGCAGCCCCTGCTCTTGCCCAGGGGCCCAGAAGGTAACTGTGTGAGTTCTGTCTTGCTCAGGATGCTTGTGGCCTCTGGCAATGGAGGGTCTGAGTGAGGTTTGGCCTCCTTATATATCCACATACCAGAAACCTATTAGGACTTTGTGTGGGCGCTCAGGGTATAAACGGGAGGAACGATGAAAGTTCTTGAATACAGGGTGGTGGTATACACCTGTAATCCCAGCCCTTGGAAGATGGAGGCCAGAAGATCAGAAGTTCAAAGCCAGCCTTGACTGTACGGAGAACTCGAAGCTAGCCTAGGCTACATGAGAGCTTGCCAAGACAGGGAGTCAAAGAAGGAGCCCACAGCCTCCCTCGTGGAAGTTGCATTCTGGTGAGAGGGAAGCATGAGAACATCAACAAGAACTGGTGTCCCGATGGAGATGCAGAGGGAAGTATGCAGAGCCAGTTACCAGAAGAGATTTCTCAGAGTGGGTAGCACTGCCAGGTACTCCAAACGCGCTGGGCAAGTTCTGGTTATGCGTCAACTCGTTCGGTGCATGTGTGACTATACTATCTTCTTAGCAACTCTGGGTAGCCAGAGTTACTAACATTGCTGTGCACTCATGAGGGGAAAGAAGGCATAGGAGAGCTAAGCAACTTGCCCACAGTCAGCAGCAGAGCTGAGATCCAGGCATCCTGGCTCCCTTTGCTCACTCTTAGCCACCACACTGAAGTGAAAAATTAAACAGCTGGTGGGGGTAACGAAAGAAAGAACCACATGCGTGCCAAGGCAGGAAGAAAGTGGACATCAGGACCCCTGGTGCAGGTTACTAGGGCAACAATAAGATTGGTGAGTGCACAGCCAATCACTGGATTGAGCACGGAGTCCCCAATGGAGGAGTTAGAGAAAGGACTGAAGGAGCTGAAGAGGTTTGCAACCTCATAGGAAGAACAACATCAACCAACCAGACCCCCCAGAGTTCCCAGGGACTAAACCTTGGTACCATGGAGTACACATGGAGGGACCCATGGCTCCAGCCGCATATGTAGCAGAGGATGGCCTTGTCTGGCATCAATGGTAGGAGAGGCTCTTGGTCCTGTGAAGCCTCGATGCCACAGTGTAGGGGGATCCTAGGGTGGTGAGGCAGGAGTGGGTGGGTGGGGAACACCCTCATAGAAGCAGGGGGAGGAGGGTTGGGATGGGGAGCTCCAGAGGGGAAACAGGGAAAGGGGATAACATTTGAAATGCAAATACACAAAATATCCAACAAAATAAATTTTAAAATAAGATTGGTGAGTGCAGCAACCATGGGCAGCCTGTGTGACTGAACAGGGGAGGGAGATGGTGGGGAGGAAGACAAGTAAGGACAGCTTCTTAAGGTCATGAGACCATGTCACAGGAACAGAATTTCACCACGAGGACATCAGTATGGTATTGAAACAGTTTCCTCCAATTGATGTTTTCCAAAACTCACTCTGAATGTTGTGAGAAGCCTGGGAAAAAGCAGGTACCCACTTGGACGTGACCTTGGGCCACGTGACCTCGGGCCACGTGACCTCAGATTCCGTCCACTAAAGCCTTGCATTAGGCCTGAGACAACAGAGATGCAGGGAAATGGTTTGATTTGTGATTTGTCTGAAGACAAGGCGTGGGGTGGGTCACAGGGACCAAGGCTAACTTCAGGGAACTTGGCTCCAGTAAGCTGTCAAGGAGATTGTTTACTATCAGAGGTAATGTCTGCCAGCTGTCCATCAAAACTCATGTTCTTCCTGTGTGAGAGCCAAAATGCTCATGACAGAGCTATACCAGGTGAAAGAGCAAAGTGAACTTGCATCTTAAAACTTCAGGCACTGTCCTTTGCATTGCCTTTAGCAGCAGTGTAGCACTGCTCAAGTGTCAGTATGGGAACCCGGCAGGGAAAGCTGTTCCTGACGAATCCCCTCAAATCCACAGCACTGGCTTAGACAGCCACTGGAGAGTAGAACCCCGGGACCTTTGTTAGGACAGTAAAATGCTTATCACTGATCTCATGTACGGACAGCTATTTGGAAGTCCGACCGCATGCCTACTGAGCCCATATGAGTCTACAAAAATGGTTGAGAAGAGCCAAAAAAATTTTTTTTGCATGTGTCACCTGCTTGGCGCTGCTTTAAGCAAGATATTACAAGAAAGAGATTGGCTGGCTTGCAGGAGGAGGCAGGCAGAAACAAGAGTCCAGAAAACTGATGTCCTTGAGGTTGGAAAAACCACTTAGACATCCAAAGGGCAGGTGATCAGACCAGGGCCCAGAGCCTCTTAAGGCCAGCCTGTTGTTATGCCAAAGATTAAGTCTTCAAAAATCACTGCTAGGGCCAAGTAGTATATTAAAGGTTCATCCAAATTTATCATGTTGGCTCTCCCTGGGGTGACTCTCATTGTAAAATAGTGAAAAGTGATGGGTTGGCCAGAAAGACAGTTACTGTCAGGAAAGCAGTTAACAGCCACATGGAACTGTCTAGAACCAGATAAACCTGAAGCCAGCTAAGGTTCTGGGGGAGTTGGTGTCACCAACAAAGTTGCAAGGCTGATCTCTGGGAGCCCAAGACAGACTGTTCTGAAAGGAGTGTGAATGGGCAACCAACTGCCAGTTCAGCCAGCGGTCAGGAATAGAGAGGGCAACAGGGGCATCCACACAGAGCCGCCTCCTGTGGTTTCTGAGAGTAGGCTTGGGCAGAGGCCTCTAGCTATCCACACAGCTAGGTCACGTTCCTCAATGTGCCCCCATAGCAAGGGGGTCACTCAGCTGAATTGCCAAGTGTGGAGTGTGGACAGCAACAGCATGCCATTTCTACCTCACCTGCCCAAGAGGAAATGCCTACTCCCTCTGCTGCGGCCAGCAATGAAGAGACCATGGGAACGTTATGTTAAAGACAGTAGTACCACCATTACTCTGGGCTCCTTCAGTGGAGCTGAGCTGTCTACCAGCTTGAACTTTCCTCAGACCTATGAGAAAACAACTATACATTAAAGCTATTCTAATTTGGAGTCTTTACATTGACACATTATCCTAGGAGACTCATGAAACGTCTAAGTGGAGATATTCCAGAAAGGGTGGCACTTAGGGGAGGCCTGTGGGGTTGGAGTGAAGATTTCGGGATTCATCGGGGCCATCAACATTGGAGGCTGGGAAAAGACTCACTCTTCAGACAGAGGGCTGGGACAGGCCTATACTAAAAGGGCTAAGGATAGTCAACTGCTTGCTGTGCAAGCATGAAGCCCTGAATTAGATCCACAGAACTCGTGAGAAAGAGCTGGATATGGTAACATATCCTTGCACTCTCAGGGGTGGAGAAGACAGACTCCTGGTCACTGGCCAATCAGCTATAGGTAAGTGGTAGTTCAATGAGAGACCCTGTCTTAAACAATAAAATAAAACAAGGTAGATGGCTCCTGAGTCTAGGTTACTGAATGAGCTACAGGCCAATGGGAGAGAGCAAGAGAAAATGTCAGAATCTAGGAGAGAGTTTCCCACAGAATGAGCGAGCAGAGGCCCATTCTAGCCTGGCTCTACCAGAAGCCACCGTGTAGCCTTAGCTAAGCCACCTGTTGGTCCACACACAGCTTCAATCTCCACCTCCACAGTGAGAAACCTTTCTTGCTCACCTCCCTTAAGGTGGCCCCTCGGTCCCCCTTTTACTTTGCAATGTACCCATCCCCCACCTCAGAGCTCTTTGTATTTGTCCTGCGTGTTGTTTCTCTCTCTCCCTGGACTTTGAGCACTGGTGACTGCCATTTTCCAGCACCCAGGACAGTGCTGGCACACAAAAGGACGTACAAGCTCTTTTGGAATGGACAGCCACTATGTTCACCATTTTCTTGGGGCTTCCAGCAGGGCACGCTGTCTCTGCCAAGTCTTCCTTTCTAACAGGAAGTTCTCCTGGCTCTAACTTCTCAGCCAGGGGGCCAGCTGCCCTGTACTGTCCCTTTCCACTCTCGGATGGGGATTTCCTGATGCTGGCCCAGGGCAGTGAGAATAGGAAGTTTGTGCTTCATGGTAAGCTGCCCAAATTAGCCACGAGGTCATCCTCCTTGCCTGGGCATAGCAGAGAGGGGAGAGAGATGGAATTTGCCCTCAAAAACTGAGGCTGTTGTGTGGCTCAGCAGTGGGTTTTGCCCAGCGTG